CCATCTCGACTAGGGGAAAAACTATGTCGGTTTCTGAAATGGTTCTCACTTAATACCCCTTGAATTTTTTTCTCCAGAAAATCTTTTTAATTCCATTAAAATGGCATTAAACGGACGAAATCCGGACATCCCTACGAGCACGTCAATGATTGTAACGCCCTTGACTATATTATGAATAAGTAGTTCACCCCCCTCTCAGCTGTGCGTATCTTTTTTTTTCTAATTATTAAAGCCAGTTTGGTTTCATTTGAATACCTAACTAGATTATTAGAAAAAAGTAACATGGCAGACAGTGAATAATAATATGTATGAAGTTCTCCACCAACTGCGACATGAAAGTTGAAAGAATTAGAAATAAAAACAGGGCTTCCAGTTGTCATAAAAAAATCACAGAAATCTGAACTACACCACAAAAATAAATTTATCATAAAAATGATTTATAAAAATAATATAAAAATAAAGCTGTTATATTTTGTTAAATGGCTTATTATATTAATAATAATAAATAGTCAAATGCTCGTATAGTAATTAATTAAACAGTTTTTTTTTTTATTTAAAACCCTTCCTCTAGCAGACGCGAGACCTTGTCGTTGGTGGGGAAGCTCCTAGTCAGGTGCTAGGGGGAATCCCCTTTGGCACTTTGGGACTTTGGCTGGTAGTCGTATAACGATGCCGGATGGAACTACCCTGTTCGTCATACCAGGCACCCTCTACTGTCTGTGGTCGTCTGTGGTCATGTGTCACGGGTAGAGCGTATGGGGAGGTCTTAGCTTAACCCGGACTAAGAGAAGACAACCTCACCAAAAACCTAAATCCTACGATGGCAGGATCAGGTCAAAGGGATGCGTGGCTAGATAGAAGACTAGCCTCTGCTGGTATCAATATAATATCACCGTTTCCCTTACTTCTACATGCGGGGCTCTGTAGAAGTGGATCGACTAAAGATTAACCCTTGCGGTAGGACATCGAGCTGAAGAGGGCTATGGTCAGGTCTTCACAATAAGAATTGACCTCAAATCCAAGGAGGCAATAGAAAAAAAGATATATGCTCAATTATAGTTTTGAGAGACAGACAAAGGTTTTATTTAAAACCCTGATTACTTTTCGAATTAATAAACACATCCAATATAAGAAAAAATTGGAAAAACTGTTCACAGAGACCCCTGTAAAAATAGAAGTATTTCGTGGTATATTAAAGCATAGGAAAACGAGACTTTTTTAATGAAATTCAAACGAAAGTTGAAAAGTAGCCCAGTATATAAAAACAAAATTAAATTCTCTTTTGATAGGACACCTCGTATATACGAGGAATTATCTTACCGTTATAATAGGTTAAAAAAATCCCAGCAAACACATAGCTGACCTGATTGCCACAAACGCTGGTAAAAGTGATTGAAAAAAATTCACGTAGGCCAATTCGGCATGATCATCATGTCGGAAAACCGAAAATATACCGTTTTGAATTATAATCAATTTTATATAGGCGGCTTTAAACATCTTCTTCGAAAGCACGTATTAAAAAAAATTGAAATAAATCCAACCAGTTTGTCCAATTATGGCAAATTTCCATCTTTAATAACAAGAGTTATGTAAGTTTTAGAGGTAAAATGCATCCAGTGAGCTGACAAATTTAATTGACCCTGAATTCAGACGGTTTTATTAATGAATTTAACATTGACCATCACAGGTTTGTAGTACTATAAATAACATTGCTTTGTGGTCGCCTAGGTAGAATTTATATCATATATGGCCGTCCTTGCAAGTTAATAATTTTATAAAAAGCAATGTTTATGTTTCTGCTCTTAATCATTTTTAGTTCAGCGATTGAATTACTTCTGGTTCTTTTACCTGTGCCATTCAGTTTGGTTTTAGTCGTTTATTTTAGCAACCAACATAGGTATTTGTATTTGTTTTTTTTTCTGTAATTTAAGTAAAAATTATTTTTTAGGCTAGTGCGCAATCGGTGATAAACACATTGTTTGTGGTGTACGTTGTGAATTTAACGTAATTTGAAATATCAAAACCAGGACAGTGTTTTAAATTTATCAACGCTGAATGCCTAATCAGTAAAAATCTACTTCTCGGCTTTTGCAATATATTTACCACAAATCCAATGTAAACAAACAACAATAAAACATAAAATATATGAATGAAGCGCACTCTATCGCTGTTTATTAATGTACTCGTAAAGCGTAAGTTTTGGTCCAGTATACATAAATATTTTTTAAAAAGGTTTATAAACCTTTTTTTTTAACTTTCGATAGACAGTCAAAATAAATTACTTAACTAAATGTATAATTATTTTTATTACCTTAAATGAAGGGTAAAAAAGCAAAATTTTCGAAAAATTTTGAGGCGAAAATTAAGCTTTTTGCATTTTTTGATTTTGATCAGTTTTAGAGGCGGATAGGTGTATAATAAAAAACTATTTTTTTTATTATACAAAGTTTGTAAAAAAGTCGTATATAGGGGAGAAAAAAAATAAAAACCGGTTTTTAAATTTTCGGGAATTTAAAAAAATACATTATGAAGCATAAGGACAGTAAAAATGCTCTTATAAAATTTCCAAATATGGATTTATGTCCAGAAAATCGTCAATTGATGTCAAAATATTAAAAAATAAAAATTAATGAGCGCTACCTACCCTTTATCCAACAATACATAATTAATTTCAGGCAATAGAAGGATATGGGAAATAATTAAAACAAGGCCAAAAATCAAATTTTCCAAATATTTTTTGGTCAAAATCGAACTTTTTTTAATTTTTTTTAGTTTGATGAATTTTAGAGGGGGTAGATTTATAATAAAATACAAAGTTTGTCAAAAAGTCATATACAGGGGGAGAAAAACCCATTTTTAATAAATAACAGACATAAGTTATTTATTATTTCTAAGGCCACTGTGACGCTATTTTTTTTCGATCGTATCGTTATATAGGAGCTTCCAAGAAAAATCGTGTATTCTTATATTTAAATGGATTGAGGGCTACGTAACGAAACCGTTCGCAAATCTGAATTTTCTAAACAGAAAATTAGGCTTTCCTTATTTTCAGGTCAACCGATGGTTTCGATTTACATAAAACAGTAAACAAAATTTTGTTTACTCATGTTGAAATAATTGGGACGCGATAGTGCTACGCCCAGAAGACTCTAACATTCCTTTTCTAATGACATTCAAATTTGATTATGGGGAAATAAAACGTAACTCAACATTTTACTATCCTTTGGAACATTGATATTTCCTTTTATGGCAACCGAATTAGGGCTTAAAACGAACTAGGATATTTTATTAACTAAAACTCTTACAATCGAAAGTTTATGTTGAGTACAATTAGATTGATAACAACAATAATAAGCAACTATTTCGTCAGCTTACTGTACTCAATAATAATACGACTTTTTTAGCCCACTCTGTGTAATAATTAGTAACATGATATCATAAACGTGGTTGTAGTAATTTGACTATACTATTTGATAGAATTTGCTTTGGTTGCGGCGCGGCGGTTACTTTCTACCACTTTATTAATTGAAAAATTTATTATTTTTAAAAAGGAAATGGGCAGCTCGATTTTCAATTTATCAGCACGATTTTTGGATATTAATTAATTGTTCAAAACGACCTAGCAACAAATATTTATATTGTTTGTAATTTTCCGGAAATATTGCGGTGTTTCCTAGAAATCACACAATATATTTGAAACGAAAAATTAGTAACCCAGTGCGATTATTTTATAGCATTAGAATTAAAATCGTTGAATGTGTATATGCCTTAATGTGTTATATGGAAGATAATAATTGATTAATTGTTTACACTGACCTAGGGATGGACACGTAATTTTAGTCTTAATTTACATAATATTTGCTTTATATTTTTTGGTGTTATTATACATCTATACACGTGTTAAACCTTCTAGCTTGAAAATTAATTAATTAATTAATTAATTATTTTAAACTACTCTTTTTTTGACAATATTTTTTAAGTAAATTTATTACTACTTCGTTTTTTTGTAGCTCAAAAATTTTAAAAAATACGGTCTGGTAGGTAGAGGATAAATCTTAAAGCTGCTATTTGGGTCTTCGTAGGACACTTAGGGAGACTCAAACTAAATAAAATAAAAATAAATGTCTTCAAAAAAGTCCTCTGGGTATTTTCCTACTTACAATATTAAAATTCTAGAAAATTAAATAGTTATTTTGTAAACACCGCTGGCGTTAATCCAACGGAGACCAATATCAGCGATATTTTACTAATAAAACAAATTTGCCTAACGTACAAAAAAAGCATTAACTTAACATTTCAAGTAAAATAAAAGAGGTTTTTTTTAATACAGTCTAATATAAGTAAATGTATTGCTCAGGCGTCTGTAGAGGTTAGTAATGAAATGGCTATCACTTCTTTGATGTACATATAACATATATTAATATATATATATATATATATATATATATATATATATATATATATATATATATATATATATATATATATATATATATAAATGTAAAGTTGGAGACAGGTAGAGAGCCTCTTAAAACGTAAAGCATTTTTTGGCGGTTTGTTTTGTTGGTAAAATACCGCTGACTAGTTGGTCTCCATTTTTGTAGATTTTTTTACAGTGCAAGTGGCGAAATACCCAAAGGACTTTTTTGAAAAGTTTTAACACTGCCCTGCTTTAAGTGAAATAAAACGTTTAAAGCAGCATTAAATGAAGAAATTCGTAGAGTAATCGTTAGATCTGGGTATAAACAATGATTATGAAACCGTTTTCGGTATTTGACGTGAGTTAAATTGAAAGAAATACGAAAGGAGACGATTGTAAATGTAGGCTACTTAAAACGAATTGATATGACAGAGACGCTGTGTCCGGCGCGCCGAAAGAAATTGAAACAAACCACTGGTGACTGTAAAAATGAGTAAAACCGTGTAGGAAGCGCAAAGATAACGAGTATGATGAGCGCGGCAATCAGTCTGGTAGGGTTGAAATAAATGGCTTATGGTAAAGCCACTTAGCCAAAGCGAAGCCCCCCACGATAGGCGACAGCTCACTCTGCAGCGCCGTCATAAAGAGGGTAGAGGTGCGACCGCTAACATCAGTACACCTCGAACACACGCCAGTGCTTACACGCAAGACCTACGTAGGTACCCTACCTGTATCCTAACATCCATTCAGAAAAATGATCGTGTTCGTCGTACTGTGTTTAATTGTGTTGGTGCTCTTCTTCAACTTGTCCGCCACCAAGAGGCGCAAGCCGAAATCGGCGAAGCCCATCCCGGGTCCCGACCCTTGGCCGATTATTGGAAGTCTTCACCTCCTGGGCAAGTACGAGACACCCTTCGAAGCCTTTACCGTTCTCAGCAAGATCTATGGAGATATCTTCAGTATCACCATGGGCTCTACTCCCTGTGTGGTGGTCAACAATTTCAATCTCATCAAAGAGGTGCTCATCGCCAAGGGGGGTGACTTTGGCGGACGACCCGATTTCATGAGGTTTCACAAACTCTTCGGAGGCGACAGGAATAACTGTAAGTATCCCAGAAATTTTAATATCTTGTTTTCGCATTAGGAATAGGTTTGTGTGCTAATGCAGAGTCGACGTCTCTTTTATTTCAACTCTCCGTATAACAAAAATTCTTATTTATTTTTTAGAAAAACATCTTTATTTTTAAAAACATTTTAAAGCTTAAATTCTAAGATAAATAAGACCAGTAAAATATTTCGAGCTATTAGAAATAATTTTTAAGGTATTTTTCCAAATCCAACCTGTGTCCTCTGATAACTCCTCTATTACTGTTAAGTTGGAGTCCCGTTACTAGAATACGGCAACTCTTAAGACAAAAACTAAGAGCATCATAGGCGTATCCGTGATTTTTCTGATACTCTTTTCAAAGAAAGTCTTCTTTATACAACAATCAACATGGCAAAGAAGAATATTTCGATTTCTCATAATCGATGAATAAAATATTTATATGTATAACATAAATATATAATATAAAAGAATTTTAAAAATAGTAATAATAATTTTGTTTGAATATTTCTTAGAAATTCAAAAACAAAGTCTCTAAATGTAGATCTAGTTTATGTAACGTCGATTTAATTTTGTTTGTTTATTAGAACGCTAAAAAAGTAGTACGCCTATGTTTACCGATGCGAAAAAATACAAGTCTTGAAGCCAATCTCTGTCAACTTTCTGTCTTAACACCTGTTCATTCATAAGATTACTTCACTGCGTATACTCACAGTGGCTACCCATGAACTTGAACTTGAAACTTCTAACGAAACTGAATCTGGTCGACTGGCAATCTCTCCGTAGTTTTTTCATTTTTACATGATCATTTCACTGATAAATTTCACTCCTTAACGCACTTTTACTCTGGACGGTAAAAAGCGCTAAGTTTAGTCCATTTCGCTGACCTCCATTGAGAATTTTGTTACAAAATCGAATTGCTGTTTGATCCACAGACTCGTCCTCATGACATAGTTATTTGATTTTAAATGTTTTGACCATTGATCGCTGCTAGGTGATACAGAAAAAATATATTAAACGATTTTGGAGTGTCTTTCAAATATTAACGATAAAATATTCTTGGTTTTTGTTTATTTTTGTCATAAACTGACATATTATACTATTTATAAATAAATAAAATCGTGATAAATTCAAACCTATTTCTATGGCAAAGCAAATATTAATTCAAGAAATAATGTTTTCTTTTTTTTTGAAAAATACTCATGTAAGATTATTGTTTCAGCTCTGGCTCTATGTGATTGGTCTGTTCTGCAGAAGACAAGAAGAAGCATAGCGCGTACTTACTGTTCTCCAAGATTTACATCTCTTCAGTACGACGCTGTTAATTTAGTAGGCACAAACGAATTGACAGTTTTTATGACAGAGCTCCAAAAACTACCCCTCAACGAACCTACTGATATAAAACCTGTTATTTTAGCCGCTTGTGCTAATATGTTTATGCAATATATGTGTTCGACTAGCTTCCCTTATGACGACACAGATTTCATGAAAGTCGTAAGATACTTTGACGAGATTTTTTGGGAAATCAACCAAGGATATGCTGTTGATTTCTTGCCCTGGTTGTTACCCATGTACAACAAACACATGAACAAGCTGTCACATTGGGCTGGCGAGATTCGTGAGTTTATTCTAGCGAGAATCGTTCAGGATCACGTGAACACTTTAGATTATCAATCACCACCCAGAGATTTTACTGATGCTTTACTCATCCACCTACAAGAAGACCCTAACATGGAATGGAACCATATCATTTTCGAATTAGAAGACTTCATAGGCGGACACTCGGCAATCGGTAATTTGGTGATGATGGCCCTAGCTTCCGTGGTACGGTATCCCGAGGTAGCCAAGAGAATTCAGGAAGAAGTAGATGACGTAACTAGAGGTCAGAGGTACGTAAATCTGTTCGACAAAGCTGCGATGCCCTACACAGAAGCTGTCCTTTGGGAGACCTTGAGGAAGGCGTCTTCTCCCATTGTACCCCACGTGGCTTCCACCGACACAGAAATCGAGGGATTCCCAATCAAGAAAGGCACAATGGTATTTTTGAATAACTACGAGCTGAATCTCAGTGCTGAACATTGGGATGAGCCGGACAAGTTCAAACCCGAGAGGTTCCTGTCGCCTGCTGGAAACGTGGTGAAACCGGCACATTTTATTCCTTTCAGTACCGGAAAAAGAACTTGCATTGGACAACGACTAGTTCAATGTTTTAGCTTTATTCTTTTGTCTACGCTGCTTCAAAATTATAACATATCGCCAGGCTCCGAGATACATATCAAGCCTGGGTGCGTAGCTGTAACTCCAGATTGCTTTAAATTAATATTGAAACCCAGAAATACAGAACCAAACTAGAAGAATTTTTCTTAGTAATGTATAGTAAAGAGACGCTGTGCCAGAAAGGCATTTGAGTACTTAAAAAGTCTTTAATCAAAAAGACTTTCTTTCACTAAGAGACTTGACAAGACTGGAGTTGCAGAGCTACATCATTTATTTTTAAGGTTTTGTTTTAATTCGATTGTTACAATATTTAAATACAAATAGAACATCACTTGGCTCATTAAACATTCCGGGACATTGTTCCCTATATGCGCTACTATTTATTATCATTTTAATCATGCATTGTATATATACGCAGTGGGACTTTTAGAAAAATTGTTTATGGTGTTTTAAAGAAGCGGTTTTCAATTTATAGGCTTAAAAATTCTTTATAAGTATGATTAAGTGATTTTTAGATTATATAATACATCATAGTAGGGTAGCAGATTTTTATACATGTTTGTAACATCAATAATAATTGTTGATTAAATAGGATAATTTTTATTTCATTTTTGCTGCTCCACTGTAAACACTTGTGTAATAAAACAACATGTGTAATATATTGTTTGTAGATATATAGGAAGTTTATTAACATATTTTTTTATTATTTTTGAAATTGTGTATTGTATACTAATTATTGCTTCTTCACTCTGTCGATTGTTTTTATTTCTCCTGTTAAGTACAAATTATTATTTACATTTTTGAGCTTGTAAATTAGATAAATCCTTTTTGTTTTTGAATTTTTAAAAAACTTTTTTATAGGTGAAATGTTGTAATTTCTTTCACTGTTTTGTTATATATGTTTAGTTTTATCATCTACTCTTTAATTTTTAATAGATTTTTTTCGTAATGAGACTGAATAAAACTGAGTGTATTTATTATTACATTTTGCAGTTTATATTTCTTCCTTCCTTTCATGTTAATGAGTATTTCTGTTGGCATATTTTATGACATTTGTCCGGTATTTGTTAAATCCATTACTTTAAAGGTTTAACTTCTTTCGATACGTGCTTTTTAAATTGCAAGGTAATACCAAGATCATTGCAAGGTTGCAACGTAAATTTGTTTATATTTAACATGCGTTTTCCGATCCCAAAAGGAATAATACACCACATTAAAAATGCAAACAAAAAATCCATAAGTGCAACAAAAAGTGTGCTGAACTAAGAAAGGAATTGCATGAAGGAAGTAATTACATAATTATACCCGACCCGATCAATCTCTTTTGGGTTTTAATAAGATCTTTTGGTCAGTAGGTATATATGTATATCAACCACGACACTAGCTAAACAAAATTAGATAATGTGTTTCTTGAATATCATCGGTTTTTGGATGGTAACAAGTACTTGGGGTTTCAATGTCACAATATCCGTCAGTTATTAATATAATATCACTAAAAGTTATTAAAAAGTTTCAAAACATCGTGCCAACTATTACGTTAGAAGCTAATGTTTTAAGAAAGAAACACGCATTATTTGTTAAACATTGTCATCTCAGTGTTTTTATTTTATCGACTTCAACACATCAAGATTTGCAAATTCTATGAAAAAATGCTTATATATAGGACTTTCGACACAAATTCACACTTTTTTAAAGTTATTTTGTCTTATTTTATTATTTAGCAGAGTAGGTAGTTTTTCATGTGATCTCCTTTTAAATCATTTCAGAAATAAATGGCAATTTTTTTGAATCCGAATATAATTTCCAGTTTTTGCGACTTTTTTTTCTGTTGGATAAACATTTAATTTATTGATATCTCACCAATTTGCTGACCGTTGATGATTTTCTCACAAGATTACGAAGATGGTCTTGGTATATAAAGCACTTTTACCTCTTGAGCCCATTTGAATATCTGCTCAATTTTCTGGTAGCCGCCTTTAAGTCTTAAAGCCCTGTTATTATTTTTTTAGGGTAATGAACTGGTCCTTAAATCGTTTTTATAAACATGACTTTAAATTATGCATGTAAATTTTGCCTCAGTTTTTTTCATCGAATTTTGCGCTGCTACGACACGTACAAAAGTGACGGTTGAACTTTTTTTTGTTGAAATCACTTATAAAAAAACAACAAAACATCCAGTATATAGAAACCTCCAAACAGAAAATCATAAAAATTTCTCTGCGGAAATGCATCATTCTCTTTTTTCCGACTTTAGAATAACTGAAATCAGTTACATGAAAACATGTTCCTGCTTTACATTCTAAACACTTAAACATAAACACACAAAAAAAAATTCTGCGGAAAATCCGTCATTTTCATAAAATAGTGTTAACTTTAGAATAACTGAAATCAGTTACATGAAAACATGTTCTTGCTTTACATTCTAAACACTTTCCTTGTGTAGGTATGAACTTAACTTTAGTACATACTGTAATTTCGTCATCAATACCGTACCGCAAAAACGAACAAAAATAAACGAAAATAAACAAAAACGAACAAGCAAACTAAACCAAACGAAACCAAATAAACCAAACCAAAGCAATCAAAACACGCTGTAAGCTAAAACGCGCCTGTTTACGAATTTCAATTGCTGAGTTAAGTTTTCAATCTTTTATTTAATTTTAAAATATTTTAACAATAAGTAAAAATGGTACACTTCGGCAAGAAGTTTTTTACGTTTGTAAGTTTAGAAAAATTTCTAGAATGAAAACCAAAAACGTGTTTTCATGTAACTGATTTCAGCAATTCTAAAGTTGAAAAACTCAAAAAGGATGCATTTCCGCAGAAAAAAATTTATGACGTACTATTCGAAACGGGTTCCAAATACTAAATAAACAAATATTTCTTAAGGTGCATTTCTACCAAAAAACATTGACAAACAAACATTCACGACTGTTTGTGAATATTTGAAAACGTTTGCAAATGTTGGTTCGTTTCTATTTTTCTCTTTTTGAACAGGACAAGAATTCGCGAATTAACCGTGAGTTTGTGAACATTTGTCAACGATCCGGAATATTTGCCCAAAATGGCGCGAAAAACAGCTATTGTAAATGCCGCTGCTTTTATTATAATGTGTGTTTTGAAAGAAAAGGAGACTATGAAAAAAAAGAAAAGAAAACATAGGTTTTGGACGTCATACTTCTTGAAAACGAGAAACTCAGTACAACTGATTCGTGATATAACAACAGATGATAGAAGTGGCCTATTTAGGAATTTCTCTAGAATGTCACAAGAAGACTTTCAATACTTAATATCGTTAATCGGTCCTAAAATAGATAAAAAAGATACAAATTTGTAGACTGAATTGAGACTGTATTCCTGTGGAACTGAGATTGGCTATAACACTTCGGTTTTTAGCCACCGGAAATTCATACAACAGCCTTATGTATCTCTTTAGAGTTTCGAAGCCACTTATATCAAGAATTATTCTAGAGATTATTTAGCTTTCACAATGTCTACTGTAATTTCCAATTTTTCTGCTATATCACACCATGCATCATGTTTTTTAAATTGGTTGTGGTATAAATTATCGGTTGATTTCCATATTTCGGGTTTTAATCTATACAAATCAATCAATTTCAAGCACTTTTCAGTATCCCACTCCATTTTAAATTTTTATCGACACAAAATGACACGTTCAAATTCAAATAGTCCCTGTTTTAAAAAAAGTTTCGTTTAAACCTGTTTCCACAAAACGCGCACAAACAGCAAATCCCTTTGATGTACCAACATCGGCCGGAACATCGCCAATCGGTTGGCGACCGTTCGCGAACGTTTGCAAACATTCTAAATAACATCTCCACCGGACAAATAAATGTGTTTGCAAATATTACTGATCATTCGCGAACATTTGCAAACATTTTGCGTGCTTGGTGGAAACGCACCTTTACATAACTGCTTTCAGCTAAACGAAATTTGAGCCAAAGTAACTTTATACATAAAAATCTACCATAATATAACCGAAACTCTATAATATTGGTTTAGAAATTAAAACATTAGATTTGTAATGCCTTTCAGATAAATTTAAATCTCTTAAATCGTAAAAGTGGTTTTCTTATAAAATGTAAACATATGATATACGGAACATTATACAAGAAGCCTATATAAATTGTCTGATATTTAGTAGATTGCCTTGTATTGACATTGGAGCCCTTGATGTATAACATTATAAGCAACACTGGTAGGTACTTATCAGTGGTGTGTATCCCACGAATATTAAGAGATTTTAATACTACATTTAAAAAAAAATAATCTTCTTAAGAAGAAGTTTTTACCCGTGCATTCTAAATCCCTAGCATTTACAACAAATAATATTTGTAAGTTTTCTGTTTCAGTGCCGAAATTAACACAGCGCAATATAGTATGTAATTCATTAATATTTTAATTAAAATAAGATTTTTAGAAGTCCGTATTTAAAGAAATTTAATGTTCATTTATAAGCATCTAGAAAAATATATAATTACTTGGAAAATACAACTTTATATCTAACAAATCTAACATAATATAATCTCAAGTTGTACTTTCCAAGTTATTAATAATTTTATAGACCAGTATGTAATTGTTTCACATTAGAGTTAATGAAATATCATGGAAATATCTCTATTCTCGTACCCAAATCTCAAATGCATTTACTCTGCATGTAATAATTTTATTGTATCACAAAATATACCGGGTGGTGCTTCGTCGTTGGAAACATAAGAAATTCCATGCAAATTTTGAAATGTAGTATATCGGTTTTTTAAAGGTCTGCCTATTCTGAATACACATGCCAAATTCGAACAATTTTATAGACAAGCAGATTTTATGTAATTTAAGAAAAGCTGCATCTATTTTTAAATTAAAACTGAACAGGTAACAATGGAAAACCAGACAAATGCCAGCGTACCTTAAGTTGTCATCCTATAATTCTGTCAATGTCAAATTATATTTCCTAAACGTTATTTTTAAAGAGCCAGTTTTAAATTACAAAAATGACTTTCTGGGACACTAACCGTAGGTATATAATATAACGTAGGTAGTAGTTTAGACAGCACAACAAATAACATTTGACAATGATAAAATCATAAGTTGACACCTTAGGATATGTTGAAATTTGACTGGTTTTGTATTGTTACCTGTTCAGTTTTAATTTTAAAATATGATGAGATGCAGTTTTTCTTAAATTACTTAAACTCGGCTTGTCCAAAATTGTTCTATTTGGAATGTGTATTCAAAATTTGCGTGGAATTTCCTGTTTCCAACGACAAAAAATTTTAACATATCGATTCATTGTTTTTTTTTCCTTAATAATTCCACAACAGAATATAGAAATGTTGTAAAAATACTATTTCATAATCTTATTAATATTATTATTTATGGGGATGGGGAAATTTAAAAAACGCCACGCCACTGCAGTTGCTGCTGCTACTGCAGGTTTTCTCGTTAACTTGAGTAATGAAGCTTTAATTTATTATACTAGATGTGATTAAGGCATACTCAAAAATCAAAATGTCTAAAACAACACCGTGACGTCAATAGCTTATACAGGGCGATATCATTAGTTTGATTTCCGTTAATTTGAAAAATATCGAATATTTTTTCGGAAATATTTGTTTTTTGTTTATTTTTGAGTTTAATTATCTCAGGGTTGATAATAGTTCATTAAAAAATATTATTACTAGCCAGAAATAGATTTGTAAATACGGTGAACAATATTTTTTTATAATATTTACAACTTTTTATTATAATATAAAACAAACACTAGTAGTATTACTACACAATACGATTATTGATCTGTCTATAATAGTTATGTTTTTTTAATGTAATTTTTTTAATATATTTTCTTTTTATTTTCAGATTCCTATTAAAGATGAAACGATTATTTTTTATCATCAGTATTTATGAAATAACAACATTGCCAAAAGGGTGAGTAAAATGCATTACGAATACATTCCTTTT